AGGCAGTTCCGATTCGTAATCTGCTATTTCTCCCGTGTATCACGTAAAGCAGTGAGAACTGGTTTTCAGTTAATTTACCGGGTAAAATAAAGTTTAAATAAATGACATAAATGCTCTAATAGTACACGAAAGTTAATGGTTTATTTATTGTTAATTACTGTAATGTTGCGCTGCTTTATTTGGTTAATCGTCCAGTCTGTGAAGAAGGCATTCAAGTAAGAATTGCATTGTAATATGACTCATTTCCTGCCGCGTACAATTTATATTAGATCAGCGTTCACGGTTCGACTTTTGATATTCAGATCCAGTTCTAGGTCAAACTGGTTTGTTCGACTTTAAAGAAATTCGAGTTCTAGTGAGTTCGAGAACCGAGGTACCACTGTATTTATTTTTTTGCGAATCTTAAAGATACAGCAAACATGCAATGGCTTTTACAATACTGCCCTCTGCTGGTACCGAGAGCATGCTTTATCTATAAGCATCTCCTACTGATTATTCATTACATACATACATAAATATACAGGCAAACTGGTGCATACCATGTTTCACAGTTTCTATTAAAGATAACACCTGACATATATTTTGTTACATTAATATTTTGTGAACATTGCTTTCACCGGCAAATAATGAGTAATGACCCAAGTTTTAATTGCATATTCGTTTTAACCAGCAAATTAAAAAAGGGATCTTGAGTTTTTTTTCTTTGCTTTTTTTCTAGTAAATGATAAAGTTATATTGTTCATTAAAAGCTGTACAGAGCAACAATGAAGAATAAATTAGTTTGCCACTTCCTTTGTTGACTGTCTTGCAGATAATTCTGCTTTGATCTTTTCCAACTGAAATCCACAAATAAATGTGTCTATGTGTGTGTGTATATATAAATATAGATATACAAAAACACACACACACATATATATGGACCTGCTGGGGTCCATCAACTTCCTGTATCCAATGTATGGCCTAGAATGTTCCTTTTTTGGTAGCTACAAGAATTTATTTATTGCTAATGTGTTTATTATTAACATGTGAACAAGCAGGCCGGCAGAAGCTCTTAGAATGCTCTGCTCGTGATCAGGTTTCTAGTTCAAATCCCAGACAGTGACGTCACTCTGCCGAGTCTGAGCAAAGCCCTTAACCCCTGGTTCTCGACACTCCCTGATGCTGCCTTCCTTCAAAAAAAAAAAAAATGCACATCACTTTGGATAAATACACTTGCTAAATAACAGCAGTGTAAATGCACTGGAGTTAAATAGGAGGGGAATCTCCAAAATGGTGGCTTTGCATCAAGTTCTCACGCTTTCTTTAACAGTTACTGCATATCCTGTGTATCTTCCATCTATATGTCAAAAACACAGAGTTCAGATCAAGTGAGCCCAAGATATCCTTAGTGACCAAGAACGAGTTGAATGTTGAATTAGTCTTTGGATAACGGTAACTATTTGCTTCTTGGAAGCAAAAGGGGAATACAAACCGTAAATCATCCGTATAAAATTTATTTCAACATGAGAATGACAAACATTTCATTTACGGCATTACATAGAAAAAATGATCCACAAAATTTTTATTTTTATACATTTTTCATTTTTTTTCGTAGTTTTACAAACAATGTTCAAGATACATATATATAATGACAATATATGAATAGTAAGTGTTTTTGCTTCTGTGGAATAATTAGTCTTTCTGGAACATTCAGTTTAACTTTTAACACAGTTAACACAGTACTTGGGTATTAAATTACCTTCAATTATCTTTATCCAATTGTTGGAAAATAATCTGACCAATTACCTGGCTTGATCTTAATTGTCTCGATAGAATACAATCACTAATTCCTCCAAAATGATGAGTGCAAACGAAAAATATACATACATGTTTGACCACTAGTTACACAAGGGGACACTGGACAGTTTGGCTAATAATCTCATTACCATGCAGATTAGCAGCTTCTGGGCAAAACTTAAAGTCCCCTATTTAAAAATGTGGGATGATAACAATTGGCACCTCGAAATAATTTGTTATTTGGTCTTTTAACTGAACTTTGAGATCTCAGGCAGCTAGATCTAGCGCGCACCTGATCACAGATTCATAAAAGCACAAATGGGCAGCACAGTTCGGATTGCTGGAGAACAGGAAAGCAAAACAGACAGAAAACATTAACTAAAAGCTTGACCTGACCTACCATAAAGAAGCCAGAAAAGGCCGTTTTTTTCCGTAATGGTTCTACAAGCCTATAAAATGAGCATATATTGTCACTGTAATGGTTTCTCTCTCTTCTGATGCCTGGAAATTTGGGAACAGTACTTAGAAAGCTTTGAAGAACAGTAAATATATATATATATTATATCTATATGACAATAGATAGATGCACCATGGAACCATTTACTGGGCTTTTTCTATTATTATTTTTACAGGTGACGCCTAATACTTGCTGGTACTTTATGGCAGGATAAACCTACATTCACAAATTTATCTAACGGTGCTAATGGTAAATCCTCTGTCAGAGATTCTGCCACTTCAAGGGACTTAATGTGTTTCATCGATATGAAAAAGAAAAGTTCGAAACAGTATATTTCACTTACTTTTCTAATGTACTTAAATTTTTCAGATCATGCAGAAACATTAGTACTGTGTGGGGGGGCATGACTTCTGCAAGGGTTTATTCAAAGAAATACTGCATGTACTTATGAATATACACTAGCAAGGTCATAGTACAAACATCACAATTCACCAAGCCCAAAAAGATTGAGCTCTTGAAGTACCAACCATTTATATTCTTGTCTTGCTTAGAAAAAAGATTTAGAAACCAGGAGTAATACACTGACTATATAAACACAAGCATGGCCTTATGGTGCGTCATTTGCACCCCATTAAAAATTGTTCTTTATAAACAGTTCTCCACTGTCAGACCTCGGCAATCTGTCTGCGGGTTTTTGTTCTTAAACCTCCCCACCCCCAAAAAAACAGGTAAAAACGGAAGAGTTCGTCCCCAAAACAGGAAGCACTCAATCGTTGTTCTCGAACGGCGTTAAGTGGACACCTTGCTGTGCACCTTCACGTCTGGCTGGATTGCTTTTTGGGGGGAGGAGGGTCGAGGGTGGGGGTAGGTCTTGGGCAATGCACAGTGGTTGATGGTTTGCTAATTAACAACAGCACTCTGCTACGTGCCTCAGTACACCTGCTGGGGGGGGGTCAGGGATCACGTCCACTTCGAGTGGGACAGAAAACACCCTCCTGCAAACGGAAGACATCTAAGAGGAATGAGGATGGGGAGCGTGGTGACAGGGATTACCTTTGTGACTGCCAGAACCGCACGCATGCAGGTCGCAGACCCTTATATAAAAAAGCCGCCCCACTTCCGAAAAATATCAAAAAAGATACAAAAGTTTAAAAAAAATAAAAAGGTGCTCGTGGATGTTCTGAGCTGCAGAAAACAGTCTGTAAGTAGAGGTGACCCCTTATACTCCGCCGGCGTCTTTGTTATGGAGGTGACTTCTCCTCCGGCATAGTCTCTCGCGCTGGACGCTTCAGTCCAGGAAACGCTGGCAGGCCTTTTTCCAGCGGCAGGCCGTGCACCACTGGTCCCGGTGCTCGATGCCGTACACTTTGCGGCACTTCTTGGCCTCACCACGACCCTTCCTGCAAAGGCGCGGAGGAAAGGACAAAAGACAAAAAGAAAAAGAAACATCCGTTATGCACACTGTGTCACATGACCAGAATCCTCATCAGATAAACACTGCGATGGGCGCTGCCAGCCTAGTGGTACTGCCAAGCTAAATCAATGTGAAGGCTAAACTGATAGAAAATTAAAAAACTTGAAAAGTAAACATGCTAGTCATAAAAAAAAAAACAGAAAAAAAAAGGAATGAGCTGAGACAATGAGAGCAGAGGAAAAAACTAAATGGATTGTGAGGCAGATGGGGTCCGACCTGGAGGTGCAATGGCCACGAGGAGGGGATCCACTTGCTGCATGTGGCCTGATGGGGGCGCTGTGCTGCTGCAGCCACTGCTCTCCAACACTGCCTGAGCGGCTGCGGACTGGAGCGGCCTGGGGGACAAGGGGTTAAACATCAAACTAAGAATCAGTATCTAAAACACAATATACTACACTACAAGAACAATACTGAAAAACTTATAAACACAAAAATATTTTATTCACAGCATGCGCCTATTTCTTAAAATATAAACTTTGTTCTCTATAGGAAAAAAATCTCCAAGTATCTCCAAGGATCCAACAGCTTTAAAAGTTGTTTTGCAAAAATGAACTCTTGCTGCCAACAAATGTGAGCACTAGATGGCAGTGTTGCATAAACTCCCGGGAAGCCACAATTAAGAAAACTTCCAACTTGACAACTGGAAGGCCGTATAATATACACAGCACTTTTGTCACAAATAATTTATTACGCAAACAGTACATTCCTGAAAAGAAAATATTGCTTATTTGTACACCGTGTTTTTCAATTTGTTGGGGCTTGTTTACTATACGTGTTATTTTGAGTTGATTGTCAGATAAATAAATGCTAGCAGCTGCTTTCATCCAATATGATATACGATTGTGAAGCAGAGTCAGCCGGGGTTAGGGGCCTTGCTCAAGGGCCCGACGCTCAGGGTTAGGGGCCCTGCTCAAGGGCCCAACGCTCAGGGTTAGGGGCCTTGCTCAAGGGCCCGACGCTAAAATCGCTCAAACGACCACGAGATCTGAACCGGTGACTTTCTGACCACAGGTCCTAACCCGCAGAGCCAGACACTGCCCCCGTTGACTGATTACCGATTACGGTTATGGTCAGGGATGCACATAGCTGGTACGCAAGCACACATCCACCTTTAAAAGTCATACATGCCGCAATCGACTGTTGCAACAGCATGACTGCATCCTTATTTTATGTATATTTGCGCTGCTACAATAAATCACTGTGCATTTTAACCTTTATACCACAAACGTACGGATTAGCACATTGCCCTGATACAACAATCAATCGCCACACACATCGCTTTTAAGGTGAATGTGTACCCGTTACGTACATTGCTGACTGTGGTAACACTGGACTAGACAGGGCCAACAAATAGCCCAAGTACTTTTAATTTTCTATCTGGGATGCTGGTTTAATGACCTCAATTAAACTCCAAAAGAAGCGAGAGTACGTGTCAGGCCTCACGCACTGGATGAATGTTAGTCATGGGCCTTGTACGGTCACAGCTGACTCAGAGGCACTGGGATGTTTCACACAGGAGAACCAAACCCAGGGCATGTTTGGGCGTCAGTTTTACAGGTGCAGTACGCCTGAATGTCAACGCCCCCCCCCCCCCACCAAGCCTCATTTTAAGGGTCGGCAGGGCCAACCCAAGTGAGCAGGACAGCAGGCCCACCTGTGTCGTGTGGAGCACAGCGACGGGGGAGGTCCAGTGACAGGAGTTTGAGGGGACGGGAGCTGCGATCACTTGGACGGGAGAGCAGGCCTGCAGCAGGAGAAGCAGTCCACAGTTACACCAACAAACATCCAGAATCCAAGGCTCTCTCTGCAGTACATCTCAGACTGCTAGGTGGGAAGGAGATCGCAATGGGGCATCTATTGTACCCATAAATAAGACATTTAAGCTAATTTTGCTTCAGGTTTACAGTTAACTTTATATAAAGAATGAACTATAGAAATCAAAATGGACAAAATTCTCCTAGGCCAGAGTTTCTCAACCAAATCCTTGGAGACCCCAAGACCAAACCTGGGAAGTAGCAAAACTGTGGACTGTCTGGGAGGGAGCAAAAACATGGACTGTCTGGGGTCCCTGAGGACTGGCTTGAGAAACACTGCCCTGAGTAACTAAACCGACATTTCATTTCATTTCTCTGCTACCTGTGTGCTGTTATTTTTTAAATGAACTGAATTTGTCATTGGTAAACGCAGCCCCCTCTTTTTCACGGGTTCGCAGTTAAACAGTAGTGCCCAGTTTCTCATTAATGTGACCGGGCCCAGTGTGTTAAGTGTAGCCACTGGAATGTGGAAACGGCAAAAGCGGGTGGTAGTGTCATATCGACGGCGGCGAGAGAGCTGACATCATCCTCGCTAACGGGGTGGGGGCAGGGAGGCGGGGCGTGGCTCAGTTACATTCCTATGTCAAAAACCCCCCGGCCTACAATTCGTTTTAAAAAAAAAATATTGAATAAAAAAGGACAAAAGAGGTAATTGCCTGGTAGGAGTGTTCCGACTGGACCTGCCAGAAACAGCCCGGGGCGGACTGGCTCAGCAGGCTGGTCTGTGGAGTCCCCAGTGTGGGGGGGTCCAGTGGGCGAAGTCCTGATCCAGGAGGGATCAACTGTATGGGGCTGGAGGGAGAGATGCAGGAGGATGTGGGCGTGCCGACGGGCGCCGGGGGCGCGGGCGCGGGCGTGGGCTCTGCGTCGCGGTGGATCTCGGTGTAATAGAAGTCCTCCTCCCTCCGAGAAAGCTCCGGTTCGCCGCTGTGCCTGAAAAAGCGAATGAACGCTGCTTAGAGGGAGAACCCCGCCCCCCACGACAGCCAGAGTACCCTGCTTAGAGGGAGAACCCTGCCCCCCCACGCTAGCCAGAGTACCCTGCTTCGAGGGAGAACCCCGCCCCCCCACGCTAGCCAGAGTACCCTGCTTCGAGGGAGAACCCCGCCCCCCCACGCTAGCCAGAGTACCCTTGGTCCATTCAGTAAAAATATTGCAAAATTTATTGAGCTTATACCAAAAGTCGTCGCTTTATTCATTTGTTTACAAAAAGATATATACCACATTAGAAACAATAGGTAGAAATGTTCATTTCAAGTAGTGATAAAATTGAAACCCAAATTATAAGGGTTGCTTTGGAATTAGTAACACCTCTGCATTAACATAAAACAGCAGACATTTCTGTTTAGTATCCCTTTGTGAGTCAGTGACAATTGCAATTAATAGCAAGATGGCAAGAACAGAACTGAATGAACCAGTTACAAAAATTACGAACTGCCTCTGCAGAAGGTATGTCGGGTATCTTAAACATTGCTTGTCAATGGACTTTTGTTAAGAAACCGATAAATCTGCAACATTTGTACAGAATTAAGCAAGTGTCCCAAGAATTTCTTTGAGCACAGTTCCAGAGCCTCTCTGCAGTGGGAGGATAACTAATAATTATCTTTCTTTTTTCCCCCCCACTGATAGAATATCGAAATATCAGTACTGATCTAGGCAGAGTTTCCCATCTATTGTAACCTCAGGCCCATGAATTCCAAAGACATTTTTCAAAAGCAGGATAATCACTGAATTTATACAAGCTCACCCTGTTGCACAGAGCACAGTCATTTCTGGCAATGTGCAATGTGCCCCCAAACGAAAGCGTGACACCCCAGAGCGGACTCTCACCCCAGGTGCAAAGTGCGAATGTGCCGCTTGATCCCGACCACAGACGTCAGCACCTTGCCGCAGTTCGGCCAGAGACACCGGTAGCCAACCTTAACGGAGTTCTGCAGAAAGACATGACAGAAGAATCATTAAAAAAGGACATGAAACATATACTAATTAATAAGTAACAGTCCAAACTGACTGACTTGCAAACTCAAAGGCTGAAGCTCAGGTATACAGACAGACATTCAGATGAAGACAGATGGAGAAACAGAGATAGAAAGACAGACCCAAAGACAGAGGGACAGCGTTATTAATCCCGAAGGAAGCCCCCCCACACCCCCCCAGGCGACGGACTCCTCACCCGGCGTTTCCTTGGAGCGGGTTCCTCAAACAGCACCTGCTCCAGCTCCATTTCCAAGCCCTCGTCGGCACAGGGAGCCTGAGCGCCGTCTCCCTCCGCGATGGGTGGGGACGGGGCGGGGCTACTGCCCCGGTCCCAACTCCAACATCCGCTGCTGCCGCTGTCGGAGAGCTCTCCGCCACCGCACTCCACTCCACACGAGGCTGGGGGCGGGGGCAATCGGGCTCAGACCAGGGCGCGAGTACGGCTCTCCAGAAGCGGGCAGCACAGCCGCTATGTTAGTGGAAGCCCCACGCAGGAAGTGCGAAGGCGTGCTCTACCTGGGGCGTGCTCCTTCGGAGTGGGGCTCTGCACCACGGGACTGCATGACAGGCTGGTCAGAACCATGGCTGCCATCATCTCATCCATCTCCACCGACTCGGGGCTCCTGCAGCTGCGAGGCAGTAAAACAGGCCATTTCACAGAAGTTATTTACTGCCTTTGTAATATGATCTCAGTTCAAACTGGAGGACCTTATATACCTATTTTCAACAAAGCTGTTTTTTTTTTTTTAAGTAATATCTTTAATATCCTAAGGTTAAATGGTAACTAAAAAAAAGTCGGTGACTCAGAGAGGAAATGAATTATCTTATAAAAGATTATTTAACTCAAGCTTCTGGCATTGGAGAAAGTGTTATGTGCTGGCAACAGTTACTTTGCTTGGAAGGAGGAAAAAAAAAAAAAAAAAAAAAAAAAACTTTACAGAAAGGGTCTAATTTGCCACTTATGTGTGACTTTCTTGTCCAGCATTTATTAGATGCAAACAAATTTAGACAAGCAATGCTTCATTACATGAAATCAAATAACAGCGGACCCGTGATCTTCAGGCAGACAGAGCAGAAATACACAAAAGGACATTTTTTAAATGCAGAGAAAACATTTCACGACACTTGAGTAAAAATTCCACAAATTATCCACATATGGCACTTTTTCTTTCGGCAGATGGTGAAGTTACAGTTACGGTTACAATGTGTCGCACATCCCAGGCAATGAAACATACAGCCATTTACTGAAGTGAGCATTACCGAGGAAGACCTACATCATCATCATCAGAGTGCTAAGGGTGGCCTCACCTCTTTGGCACGTCTATGCTGGAGGACACGGGGTGAGACGGGGCGGCTGCTTGGGGCTGAAACATGGGTGTGGTCCACACATCCTCGGTCTTGCGTAAAAAGTGCTGGCCCAGTTGGGGCAGGAAGACGGACACCTCATTATCCACGTGGTTGTGCTGATCCACCAGTCCCGCCACCTCTCGCCCTCCGCACATCAGATAAACCTGGAAGGCACGTCATGTTATGCTTAGTGGGAGGGGCAAGGGTCCAAGACACCCACAGCATGAGTAGCCCATACAAAATAGGAACCTGAACTCCTGATCTAAGGAAAGTGGGACAGAGGGTCGCTGACGACGCAAAGACAGTGCAGTCAAATCATATGGCGGCCGTCCGGTTGCAAAATATTAACAGCTGACCTGGTACAAAACATGCAAATAAAGGGTAAAAATAGATGCTTGCAGAGTAACTGCTGCCTTAAGGTGCCCCACATAGACAGGCACTAAAACGGCGACGGGCTGAAAAAATGACTCAAAGTCAACTAGCTGACAGCCCCCTTGGTTCCTATTTACCTTCTGTCCCGGGTACAGTTTGACTCGGCTGCGAGACGGAAATCCAGATGCAGCCCCAGGACCCATGGCGGTGTCGTCCCCCTCGGGCCCCTGCAGGCCCTCGGCCACGCCGCAGGGGACCGTCACCAGCGCGCCCATCGGCGAGCGCTTGCCCAGTCGCGTCCTTGGCAGTACCGTCGTCATTTCCCGCCTGAAGTTCCGTCCCTTGGGAGCACACCGCACCTGACGTCAGCGTTCTCCGTGACAGGTTGGAGACAGCTGGGGAAGACACAGGAGTCGGCATTCTAACTTTCGTGGGGGGGGGAGCAGGGAGCTATTGACCTCTTCCCCACACAACAGAAGAGAGACAACTGGTGGGAGTCTGCTCGCCTAAAAACATGCACAGATTGCGATCCCCAGAGAGACATCCAAGACTCCACATAAACCTGAGAGTTTTGGAGCAATCATTGTGTCTGCAATATCACAGAAACCAAACAAAAAAGGGTTTTAGTGATAATTCCAAGATTGCTGCTAACTATACCTTTCTTTAAACTACACAGAAATTGTGTTTTATGTTGCTACATTTTAAACAGCAAGTACACAAGAATTCAGCCAAATGTTTTAAGTTAGTTCTATGACATCAAATACAAAATATCATATAAACCTTATATAAAATTTCTTTACCTCTGTTTGACCTAAAATTGACCAAGAGCACAGAGTTTAAATAGGAACCTTCTTGAAAAAGCAACGACCAAAACCAAGTGAATTAAAACTCTAGCAGCAAAACAGAGATTCTTACAGATATTTGTTTCACATTAATCAATGACTCTACATATTTTTACTTACCAACTTTTCTATATTTTATTTCTTATAAACAACTTTAAGAACATCATTTGTTTGGGTCCAGAACACTGTACTAATAAAAATCACTTGATCACTGATGTGATCGTTTTGCTTAACACAACCACGACGATATTCCGAGTCAGCAGAAGTGGAGTGACAGGCCCTGCCCCCGCATATCTTACAGCTGGGGCAATCATGTAACAGCAGCCCAATGCACGCAACAATCAATGACGCAGATCTGGAAACGCAAACGCAAATCTGGATTACAGATTACTGCAGAATGGCTGACATCTCCAGCAAAGTTAAGATGGTCAGCTCAAGTGACCTAAAGCACCAACAATCACTTGCAAATTGTCGTCAGTCTACATCCCGGAGTAATCCTATCCTGCTACCGTACCTGACCGAAGCTCTTCCTGCTCGACTTCCAGTTATGGGTGGCTCACCAGTGCAGTGATGGGCTTGATGCAACAGTCAGGCACTGTTGCAAAGTCTATTTCTGTACACCAGTTAACTGCAAACTCAAACGGTACGCCACTCTATACCGTTGGCCTAATTTGCCAACCTTCTACTACACTAGGAACTCCAGATATTTCATTCACAAATTGACCACAACTGAGGACAATCTGAACCGCACCCATTGTTGTTTGTATTCAGATGTTAATTTCCCCCCCTCTTCCCTAATTGTTCCTTACCCCTTTTGAGTTTCTTATATTCCATAAATACATGGTCATAGTAGAGGACATAAAAGGCAACTGACAAACCGTCAAAGTTACTGTGCTTTTTTAACTATTCAAACAACACCGTACAAACAAGCCAACCTACTGAAATACTCAGGAAAAACTTGGCTGTGCTCATATCTGAGCACATGCCGCGTTATTACTCAAGAAAAAGTTGTTAGGACAAGCAACGTGGGAAAGTATACGATACACTTATTCATAGGCTTTTAACAACTTTATTTATAAAATCTAATTCAAAGGTATGAAACCAAAGCGTCTTTACAAATACACTTTCCTATGCACAATATTTGGTAAATATCATGAGTTCTAATTACTCAGAGGCAAGAAGACTAGTGTTGCCTTCCCTTCTACTGCAACATTATGCTGTTTTTCGTTAAAATTTATGAAGGGTGACGTATTGTTAGATGGTAAAACATAAGAAAACAAATCATTACAAGAAATTAAAACATAGTCAACCCCATTAACAGTATTTCTCCACACCAACATTAAATATTTACAGGCTTCGCTAATAGCGAAAACGTGCATAAACGAGTGAAACACGTCGTCCTTGTTCGATAGGCCGGTCCCAATCGCCTCTGCTAAGCTAAAACTTTTCTGCTATACAGAAGTAACCACGTTCTCCGTTTCACCCCCACAGCGTCGGGTCACGTTAACAAAAATACGCTTGTTATCCAAATATCTAATCATGATTAACAAATGCATAATCATGAATAATCACTTCGGAGAATTCTCATCCATTGTTTTGCAGAAAATGAATCGATTGCACTCTCTTAGGGCAAACGTGTTTAAATTTTAAAGGGAAGAGCACCGCGAATGGACGCGCACATGTGCAGCAGCGAGCGGCGCCGACCGGAGCAGCCCCCCTCCGCCCCCCCGCGCATGGCGACTGTAGCTGGGAACGCTGCTCTCCAAAATACAGCAGGCTGCTATATGCTGCGCGCCTGTCTCTCGCAAACCACGACCGAAAGCCTGAGATCTCACCATATTCACAGCGGAAAAATCTACGTGTAGCCAAGTATTCACTGTTTTTTTTTTTAATATCACAAAAACATGTCGAATATAGCTTGCGATTCTTATTTCAGTCCTCAGCACTAATATTGCCACAGTTAATGCGTTTGTGTTTTCTTCTTTTTACAACAGTGTGCGAATGTGTGCATAAAGGTTAATTGCAAACTAGGATTGGGAACACGAGTTGATGAGTTCAGTTAGAAGGGGGGGGGTGGAGGGGGGGGGGTCGGTAACATCTTGCAACAAAAGGTTCAATTGGCACACGACTTGAACCATGCAAAACAAGTATAGAGTTCTCATAACATTCTTTCTAAGATATATATATCAGTCTACCTTATACTTCAGCAACTATTATTGTGGAAAAAAATAAATATATACATAAAACTGCAAAACAGAGGGGAATGTTATTCTAGTACTATTTGGACAATATTTCTGCGGTACAGTACGTATATGCCTTATAGTAAACCACCGATCACACGGGTTTTCAGCAATTAAGAGCAAGCAAGGATTTCCCAGCAGAATTTCATTATTTACAAATATATTTCAAATCCAAATGTCCACGTTAGCGTGGATGTCGTGGACTGCAAAGCAGAAATACTACAAAAATAATAAAATAGCAACAAATGAGCCTTTATACCTTCAAATAAACAATTCAAAGTTTCAATGAATAGGCTATTACTCACATACCGTTCTCAATCTTCAACACACCCCCTTCCAGTAGGCTTGATCTAGTCGGCTGTAACTTGGAAATGCTCTTTTCTACGCCTGGAAAGGGTTGCAATGTTGGGCTAATTCAAACACGGGGTGGATTTCTGCAACGAACTGGAGTTTCAATACAAACCCTGCCAATTAAAGCCCGCCTATCGATTTGTGCATCGGTAATAATTTAAATGTTTGTTTCGTATAGCGGCTGCTACGACTTCATTGATTAATTAATGGATTACAAGCATGCATCTGTCGAACTTAAAATTGCATTAGGATCAGACTCACTGCCACGTTTTTCCTTTCTCTTTTCAATGGGTTTTCAGTTCTTGTTGTAAACAACCGTACCATGTGGTAAGGATGTACGCGGCCATTGGCTGAGCAGTGTTTTCCAAGACACACGCCCTACAATTCCAACTTGTTTACATAGGAGTTTCGGAGGGAGCGAGGCGTGCCGAGCAAGAGCAAAGTGGTCATTGTTGCAGAGATGAGTTACCGATCGCGCAGTACGTTTTCCACATCCTTAAATTCGCTGTGCAAACTTCGTTTCAGACGCAGAGGTAAAGACTGCACCAACATTTGCAGGCGCGCTGCAATAATAAACATGAATAATAATAATAATAATTTTGCACAAGTTTTTTTAAAACCGTATTGTATTATCATCTTTAATATATTTGGCTAAACATTTGGCATAAGAAGTATTGTGGCACGACGTACAAATTTAGCGGCTGTTCCATTTTTGCAAGTTATCTGCTTTTGTGGGCGCGCTGCAGACTTGATTTGATTCCCTGTGGCTCGACGCCGGCCATGTTAACTTCATAACAAAGAGCAGTAAAGCCTTATGCGTTTTCGTTGGGGGGTGGAGTCAAATTATAGATTACATAACATACATATCAGAGTGCCTGCGCGTCTCGCTGTAAAGCTGCGCAGTTTCAGCGGTGGGGAAGCATGACGTCTTCGCGGCTCGCGCCGCGGGGCGCCCCGTCAGTGCGTACGTGCCCAGCAACACATGAGGCGCGAGCGGGGTTCTGCGCGTGCTGCACGTCGGCTACGTCCTTCGTGGTGGAGACGCCGCCAAGCCATCGCTTTTGCCGACGACATATAAAAGTCGCGAACATTTATTTTTAAACCTTTTTTTTGTTTCTCCACCTCCCACCCCTCCGGTACTTTTATTGTTGTGCACGAATATAATCCGTCATCTTATGTGAAACGGGTATTTTAATTGTTTGGGAAAGCCGCCCATTATGCGCGTACGCCTGTTGTAAATCTTCATAACAATACAGTACAGGACGTACACATTCACGTTAACCTGGGCTGTATGGGCGTTGTGCAATGGTAAAGGATCACAATATCTAAAAGCACGACTTTTGCAGTAATCTATGATGTGGTTTAGAAAGGTTCGGTGTAAAAATTATTGCATTCTTGTAATAAAATGTTAGTTTATAAGAAATCGTGTTCATGTATGAAGTTATTCTGTAACGCTTTGTTCTTCCTCACATACACAATTCCTTAAGAACAACGACTTAACAGTTTTATTAGTTCATTGTGCCTCACCCTGTAGCATTAACTCGATGGAAATCCGTTTCATTTATATACAACGATATCTATAAATCAATTATTTGAAAAAAGAACTGCTTGAATAATAAATGATATATATTTGATTTTAAGAACGCTAATACGGGATATTGACCTCAGTCCCAGCTCTATTCGGCCAGAGAGGAGGGAGTCTCGTGGTGTAGGAGCAATTATGGTTGAGATGTAGCTGAAAATGATATGAAATTTCTTGCAGAAAGTTTTCATCAGAAAGTCTCGCATCCGACAAGCACTGTCCAGTATTAAGGTTATTAACCTGATGCATAAGCATATAATGTTTTTTTTGCTTTCATTTTTGAACACAAAAGCAATGGATTATTTTAACTATTTTTTCATTGATACATTGTGTATGCTGGCTTTTCTGTCATCATAAGCATTTCACGTTTGCTTTATTTTCATGTCACACATCTAAAATTTAATTGTAGCTTTTCATTTTGTATCTTTTCAAGCAGATTATTTCCTTTTGATTAGAACGTGGGGTTTATTTCAGGTACAGTATTGGAATTCCAAATCACTAGGGGTATAAAGGACATGTAACAGTCAAGCAACTTTTATATACTAGAGTGAGATGTTATGTATAATAGGGTTTTTTTAGGCTGATACTCCCTTACAGCTCTTTAGATACAATTGTGATAATTTACTTTGCATTTAACTTGTTATCTCTGAGTTTGCTTGCTTGAAATACCTATTCATCCCTTCTGTCCTTGTAACCATCTACCAGCCTCTATTCTACCTACGTTAGCTAGGTCCGCCTATGAGATGGCATATTCAAATAAACCAGTTTGTGGTCGTTTTGTGAAAGGCTAGTGTGTATCTACAGTGATATCAATTATCATGCTACCGAGCCAGCCAGGGTTGGGGTCGGGGTTGGGGTTGGGGTTCCTTGTTATATTTTGCTGCTCAATATATACAAGCAGTATCTTATATATGATCGGCCTGTTGATTGACTGTGCAGTAATTGAACTTTTTACATTTTTTTTATTATCACTAGTATACAGTGTGATTATAATATAATATTGTCTTCTGAGGCAGTAATACCGTACATAATAACAATGATACAGTAATAATTAAAGTAACAACATATGGTACTATACCTCACGCTGATGAACTGCTGAAGCCATGCAATGTTTAACCCAAATGTTTAATATAATAGGCTTTATGGCAGTCCATTCGTAAGTACAAGTTGTCCGTATCTCGGACGTTCTTAACTTGGGCACTGCTTGTATATTCCGAATGATAATTAAAGTATAATAAAGTTTTGTGGCATCGGGTGGGCAAAGCAAAACTGCAGAAGTGATACAGGTTGAGGCCGTATATTTTCTTCCTTATTTGAACTTGACAGTACCTTCACAGTGGGGAGCTATTTACATCAAACGTAAGGCGGCGCCGCTTTGTGTGATGGGAAGAGGGTGATGTCATCACTGTGTCAGGTTAGCAGATTGAGTGCTGCGCCCCACTTAAGTATCAGCCATCCTGGTGACCCCACAAAGTGAACAGTTCCTGTCTGGATGTACAACGTGCAATCCAGGAACCGAGCAACACACACAATCACATACAGTCTTGGGACTCACATAGGTCCTCTTCCCCCTACCGATGGACCACCTGCAAGTGCCGAACCAGCTCC